AGCACACATCGTGGAGACAGGAAGTATGAGTGGCTCACGGATTGAGGAAGTGAGGGCGGATGCGGAGTATCTGCGAGGCTGCGAAAATCCGGATGCTGTGGTTGTTAGTGATACCCAAGTATGCCGGGTCTCTGCCTGAGTATGGAATGTGTCGCCTTGGGGGAGAAAAAAGATATGAGCAACTCACAAAGCGGAAGGCCAACGAAGACACGACTGGTACTGCGTGAGATGATTTGTATGACATTTGGAACCACAGAGATGAATTTCCAATCTCAAATAAGTCGACGATGAACAATCTGCCTCCAGCATCATATTGAACACCCCCTACCGTGATTCTGAAGCGCCAGCGATTCATCAAATGGCTGTACGAGTTCATCATGCATTTGTGGGAAATACTGGCTTATGTTTCGCAGCCCCACCCGGATCGCCGGGGTATGGTACGGGTTTCCGTGACGTCCCGTCCAACTGTCCAGTCTGTTTGAAGGACCTGGGAACACGTGTGAAATATCCCGAGATAAATAACAATGCCTTACCTCGGCGAGGCCGGCATCGAAGGAAATTAAGTGCTCCGGTGCAGATGCAATTTCCGAGATGTGCTTCTTCGTAGAAATAAGGTTTGTCCACCGGAAGAGTGCAGGCAGTCGAAATATCCCGTTGCCGCGCTGGACGTACGCCTCATGGAGCATCTTGGTTCCATAGAACTGTAGTTTCAGTGCAGTCCGGGAGGACGAGAGGATGTTCGTTGTTCCGATGAACGGGGGGATAGTACTCTGCGTGTGCGTGAACGGAGAGTGAAGTCAAGAGCTCGCAGCCACACCTTGCCGGACGGACGAAGTAATAGTATTATCAGTGAAGGGAAGAGGAGTACTGCTAGAGTGCAGAGGAGATCTGTTCTCGTTTCCATATCCATCGTTCCGAAGTTCGAAGGAAGGCACTTCTAAAAGTAGGATGAGATTTATGTGGGCTCGTCCTTCGCGGCTTCAGGCTTTTATATATCCTGCAAGCGGGACTGTGCCTCGCTTATCCGTTGGTAAATGACTTTCCTTCCACTACAAATACTGCAGTCCATTGAATTGCGCAGACTTTTGCAGGCACAAATCAGCTCGTACCTTTTATCGTTCCTCGCTTATTATGGTTTACGCGCCAATCTCCAAGTGTCGTTGCATGATAAGACAGCCGTTCTCGCCATTTCAACCCGCGGACCAGGAGGCGGAACATGCCGGTCAAGTGCATGATGAGATCAAAATCACTTCAACCTCCCCTCAGTCCAGGTCAGCTTTGCCCTACTGGAAATGGGTATAATTGTTATCTGAGCCAAAGTGACCATTTTATTACAAGACATACATATTGTACCTCGATCTGCCGATATAGAAGGAGATTGCGCAAAAAGAGATCATCTTCCCTTTGCGACATACTCGGGTGGTGGCTCCTCCTCAACCACCTGAGAGTCCCGAAGCGCCGCCGCGGAAGTAGAATGTGCGGTACCAAGGAACGAGTTACCCCCTGTGCTCGTCGAGGTGAACATCGCGCTCATCTCCGACTGTTGCGGCACATGGCGCGGCGGAGGTCGCCTCTTTTCTGCGCCCACATACGAGCGAGGCATAAATGAAAAATCGGTCGGAGGAACGACGGAAGGGTGAGAGGGGAAATTGAACGAGCGGTCGGCGCTTGAATCAGCGAAGGAAGGGTTGCTCTGAGGCTGAGCGGCAGCGGAGGTCGTCGGAATTGAAGTCGGGGCCAACTGTGCCGTGGGCATCGGTTCCGGTGCTAAGAGTTCTCTTGCTCGTGCGCGGCGACGACGAACAATGAGACAGACGACAATTCCGATTGCGACGACGAGCACTGCGCCAATCACGGCTCCTGCGATCGTTGCCGCGCCGGCGCCTTCGATGGGGTCGAGGAAGGCGTCGGGGACTGTTCCTGCGATGTCGACGATGTTGAAGTGGACGACGCGGTTATATTCATGTCGGAGGCGATGAAATAGGCGGTATTGAGCAAGGGGGAAAGCGCGCTGGTTTGGCTGTTTTCCGAAAACGCCGAACTGGCCGGGCCTATCCATTGTGCGCCATAGATATTGTCGCCGTTCGTTGCGAGGTCTATGACCGCGTTGAACTATCAATTATGATACTCAATGACGACGCCGCTGGTGAATATCCTGACGAACCTGCACAGAAATATAATCACGCAGAGTTTTACGAATATCGGGCGTCGTGACGTTGCGCACGTAGGCAGCGGTGAGGGCGCGCACGAGGATCGAATCTCCGTTCTTTCCGGCTAGTTTTGAAACGAAAATGTATGAGTGGTGACCGCACAAAGAGTTAATCAGAATATACGAGCCTCCGTTGGTTATTATTCCTCCTGTGGTCTGCCACGACGGATTGGAAAGGACATTGGTGATGAGATCATTAAGCACGTTAAGTGTGATCACGAGAGATGGTCGTTGAATCTCACAAAGTCAGCGTCGACGGATCTTGCTTCTGCGAAGCGAGAACCGCCAGGCCCTCGATGAACAGCCCAGAATTAAACGTATTGACGCTGTCGTCGAGAACTTGCATGAATCATCCTGGCTTGCGGATATGATTTGCAGGACGAGGCCATTGGAATTGTACAAATGTGAGTGAATGAAGTTGGCCGATTCAGTGGCAGCATCCAGGTAGCTCGGGTTGGATGTAGCCTCGGCTAACAGCAGATAGCCTAGAAGATAGCGTAAAGGGAGACGTCGCGGTGACTGGAAATTACATACAGCATAAAATAACTATCACATGTTTGAGATACCATGAGACATGAAAACGGGAGATGGAACACACACCCAGTGGACATCGCCGCCACACTCGGATCTGGAGCGGTAGTAGTCTGGCGATCGATATCAGTGGCGCCGTCGGCTGCAATGCACGGAATGCTGACTGACCCAGAATGTCCCACCCGCCATTGTGGCTATCAAGCGGTGGAAGGGCTCGGAAATCATATAATTGCCGCTCACCGTCATTACAAGAGCCCAGCACTGTGAAGTTCTTTCCTGACAAAGTTGTACCGGCCTGCGACAGCGTGAGGGATCGCCCGAACGACCACGATTGAATGGCGTATTGGAGAAACGTGGAGTTTTGGTACGCCAAAGAGAATACCCAAAACCGGTGAGCAAGGAAAAAATAAAAATAACTATATGCACCGGTTATGCACCCTCAGGGAGTTGAACCCCGGACTCATCTTGTACTCCAATGGTATAATTCAAAGATGTGTGTTTCCGTACACCAAGGGCTGCTACACTGTAGTGAATCAGGGCCTAGTTGGGAGATGGGGAGGCAGGGCTCTGTATGCTTTAATTATTTAGACACAAGGGCTGTAATCAAGGAAAGAACTGAGTACCAATGACTGCTGATCTGCATTTGTGGCATTCTCATCCTGAAGGCTGCATGCAGAATTTATGTGGTTGTGCTGGCAACTTGCAAAAAAAACTGGAACTGGCTAGCAGATGTGCCCTCGCAGAATTGAACCCCGGGTTTGTCTTGAATTCTGCTTTGCATATCAAGATCTGACCAAGGGTGCTTGCTACATGCACTGTGGGTGGGTTGAGAAATTGGTGCGTCTGGGCTCAATGCCACTCGATGATTTGATTCAAACATCTGTAACCGTGCAATAATTTAAAATTACAGCTAATTGCAGTACCGAAGGCGCGGATCGAAAAATTGCCGTTTTGGGAATTTTTTGATTCTCGCGACCGATTTGCCCATATCTCGATGAGTTCTGCACGGATTCGGCTGAAATCTAGCTAGATAATTCGTACTAATTCATATGCAATTAATGATAGAGAAAGATCCTTCAGAATATCATATACTGTGCTTATTACACTTGAGGCCATTGGAGCGATGAATCCCGACTAGCAAGCCCAGATCTTGTCTGAAGGAGCTTAACTTTGGCTAGGGTGGACTTTGATACTTGTAGGGAATTGTGATAGAGTCAAAAAACGGTCATAATCAACATGCACCCTCGGGGACTCGAACCCCGGGTTCGTCTTGAATTCCGTCTCACCTACAAAGAAGACGTAAGACGTGTGTTACCATACACCAAGGGCGCATATCAACTGGTAGGTATGGTCCACTAAATTATACAGCAACTTCCAGGTACTTGCAAGGTCCCCTGTGCTTGCACTCCATCTGTGTTCTAGGTAGATAGATAGATTAAAAAATGGCTGTTCTTTCAATCCATTCCGCTGTCCTGCAAGGAAAGAAAAAAGCATGGATACATTATGTAGATGGAGGCAATGCCAAAGTCGGAAAAAGAATCACCGCTAAAAGGGATCCGGGAGGGATATGCGCCCTCGGGGATTCGAACCCCGGACTCATCTTGATTAACCACATACAAGGATATAACAATTCAAAGATGTGTGTTTCCATACACCAAGGGTCCTTCCTATGCATACTTTAGCGGGCAGATATCATGATCAACTGAACTGCTCAGGTGGGCCACGTAGATAAATTACACTCCAACTTAAAGTTAGGGGTGCCACCCAATGTTGCAAGGTCCCAGACTGCATCTACGCTTCATCCATTTTGTTCTAGACAGATTGGTTAATTGAAAAATGGCTGTTCTGTCCATTCCATTCCGCTCTCAAAAAAGTACTAGTCGGATGGCAAACAAAGTCGGAAAAACAGAGCTCCAGGCAATGCACCCTCGGGGATTTGAACCGGGACTCATTTTGATTGACCACAGAGAGTACATAAATTCAAAGATGTGTGTTTCCATACACTAAGGGTGCTTAGTACCTCTGTTGTAGTGAACATATATCAACCGATGGTTCCGCTACATTGTACTCCAGTTATAGGCGCCCACCTAACTTTGCAAGGCTAGATAGATATAGATAGATAGATTAAATGATGGCTGTTCCTTCAATCCATTCCGCTGTCCTGCAAGGAAAGAAAAAAGCATGGATACATTATGTAGATGGAGGCAATAATGCTGGAGTCGGAAAAAGAATCACCGCTAAAAGGGATGTGAAAGGGCAATGCACCCTCGGGATTCGAACCCCGGACTCATCTTGATTCACATCAAACATCATCAATTCAAAGATGTGTTTCCATACACCAAGGGTGCTTAGTACCTCTATTGTAGTGGACATATATCAACCAATGGTTCCGCTGCATTATACTCCGAGTTATAGCCCCCCCCCCAGCTTTGCAAGGTCCTGAGTTTGGAGCCTAGATAGATAGTTTGAAAAATGTCTGTTCGTTCCATTCCGCCCTCAAAAAAGTCGGACGGCAAACACCAAAGGCGGAAAAATAGAACCCCAGCCAAAAGGCTCAGCCACAAAAGCCATGCACCCTCGGGGATTTGAACCCCAGACTCATCTTGATTAACCAGATACAGGAATATATTAATTCAAAGATGTGTGTTTCCATACACCATGGGTGCTTCTATGCATGCTGTAGCGGGCAGATATTATGATCAACTGAACTGCTCAGGCGGGCCACATAGATACTTAAATTACATTCCAACCTAGGGGGCCCACCCAATGTTGCCAGGTCCCCTCCTGTCAGGGGAACCCCCGTTCGGACGGTTTTCCATCCGGACCCAATCCGGATGCTCTGGATGCTTCGGGCGCTTCGGGCGCTTCTCCGGATGGTTTTCCGCCCGGCGCTCCGGACACTTCTGCGCCCTTCTATCTGACCGCCAAACCACCCGGGACATCCGTCCGCTCTCGTTGGCACGTGCTGTGTGATCAGGCCCGCGATCATTCTAGATACCTCCGGACACGTGCTACTGGGTAGTTACCAACTAGTATATAAGGTTTCGCCTAGTGTGGGAATCCTCATCCTTTCTTCTCTTCGGATTCCCCCGCTAGGTGCGTAGTATTTCCGCTCCTGTATTGTAGTACCTATATTTATTCTTCGGATTCCCCCACTAGTTTCCGCGCCCTGCGCCGAGCTTAAGGTTGCCCTTACACCTCCCTGAATCTGGTTTTGTTCTAGATTGATTGGCTGTTCCTTCCATTCTGCCCTCAAAAAAAGAAAAAGTCGGACAACGACAACACCAAAGTCGGAAAAACTTTTAAACATGACCCCAGCCAAAAGACTTCGACGAGGGAAGGATGCACCCTCGGGGATTCAAACCCCGGACTCATCTTGATTAGTTAGACATCGAATAAACAACAGCTGTAAGATGTGTGTTTCCATACACCAAGGGTGCTTGGTATACTGTATTAGTGGGTGTGGAAGTTGGGGGCTTTGTATGATTTGATTCAAACATCTGTAACTGTGCAATAAATTAATGAACTACCAACTGGGTCCCGCAAATATCCGAGTAGTTAGAAGTTTCTACCAGCCAACAAGACAATAGCACCCAAAACCAAAACCAACAATAAGGGGGAAGAAAAAAACGGTCATAAATCAACATGCACCCTCGGGGACTCGAACCCCGGGTTCGTCTTGAATTCTGCTGTGCCGACCCAGGAGACATAAGACGTGTGTTGCCATACACCAAGGGCACATATTGACTGCACTGCTTGGTAGGTACGGTCCGCTAAATTATACAGCAACTTACGGGTGTGTTGCAAGGTCCTCTGTGTTTGCACTCCTGTCCTGTTGAATCTAGATAAATAGATAGATTGAAAAATGGAGGTTCCTTCCATTCTGCTGTCCTGCAAGGAAAGGAAAAAGCATGGATTCATAGATGGAAGCAATGCCGAAGTCGGAAAAAGAATCACTGCTAAAAGGGATCCGGGAGGGATATGCACCCTCGGGGATTCAAACCCCGGACTCATTTTGATTGCCCACAGAGATATACAAATTCAAAGATGTGTGTTTCCATACACCAAGGGTGCTTCCTATGCATACTGTAGCGGGCAGATATCAACTGAACTGCTCAGGTGGGTCATGTAGATAAAGTACACTCCAACTTCGGGGTGCCCACCCAATGTTGCAAGGTCCCCCGCACCTGCACTGCATCCATTTTGTTCTGATTAAAAAATGGCTGTTCCTTCCATTCCGCTCTCAGGACGGCAAACACCAAAGTCGGGAAAACAGAACCCCGGCCAAAAGACTTGGCGACGAAATGGAAAGGGAAGTGCACTCTCGGGGATTTGAACCCCGGACTCATCTTAATTGATTCGACTGGGACATGGAACTGTAAGATGTGTGTTTCCATACACCAAGGGTGCTTTGTACCTCTGTTGTAGTGGATATATATCAACCGATGGTTCCGCTACATTATACTCCGAGTTATAGGCGCCCACCCAACTTTGCAAGGCTAGATAGATATAGATAGATAGATTGCTGTTCCTACCATTCCATTCCGCTCTCAAAAAAAGAGTACTAGTCGGACGGTGCCGGCAAACACCAAAGTCGGAAAAACAGAACCCCAGCCAAAAGACTTGGCCGCGAAGGGAAATAGAAATGCACCCTCGGGGATTTGAACCCCGGACTCATCTTGATCAGGCGGACATGCGATACGCACATAATCGTAAGATGTCTATTGTAGTGGACAGGTATCAACCGATGGTTCCGCTACATTATACCCCGAGTTATAGGTGCCCACCCAACTTTGCAAGGTCCTGCCTAGATAAATATAGAGTAGATAGATAGATTAAACATGGCTGTTCCTTCCGTTCGGCTGTCTTGCGAGGAAAGAAAAAAGATAGCGTCGGCGACTCGGCAAAGTAGAATCACCGCCAAAAAATCATAACCGCACATACGCCCTCGGGGAGTCGAACCCCGGACTCGTCTTGAAGTAATTGCTCGAGAAAATGTACCATTAAGACGGGTGTTACCGTACACCAAGGGCGCGATACCGAGATGGTGAGGAAGCGTGTTTGGAGAATGAATATTCGTATTCGCGACCCTTTCTCCGCCGACTCCACCGACCCTGCTCGGGATACGTAACACGATCCCTGTCACGCGCAGCAGTGGTCAGTGCCTGAACTGTCCAGTAGATAGATGAACCACCAAGTGGGTATGCAAATATCCGACTAGTCAGGTGTTTCTGCTGCGACCCACCCACCAAACAGAGAATACCCAAAACCGGTTAGCAAGGAAAAACTATATGCACCCTCAGGGAGTCGAACCCCGGACTCATCTTGTAGCATCGAGAAGGGATAATGGAAAGATGTGTATTTCCGTACACCAAGGGCACTTGCTACACTGTAGTGAGTCAGGAAGTTGGGAGATGGGGAGGTGGGCTCTGTATGCTTTAATTATTTAGACCTAAGTGCTGTAATCAAAGAAAAAACTACCAACGACTGCCAATTCTGCATTTGCAACGTCATTCTCATCCTGAAGGCTGCATGCAGAATTTGTGTGGTTGTGCTGGCAACTTGCAAAAAAAACTGGAACTGGCTAGCGGATGTGCCCTCAGAGAATTGAACCCCGGATTCATCTTGAATTCTGCTTTGCATATCAAGAGTTCGAAGACCAAGGGTGCTTGCTACATCTACTGGTGGGTTGAGGAGTTGGTGAGTCTGGGCTCAATGCTCGATGTTTGATTCAAACATCTGTAACCATGCAATGAATTAATGAGCTAATAACCGGGTCCCGCAAATATCCAACTAGTTAGATGTTTCTACCAGCCAACAAGACACTAGCACCCAAAACCAAAACCAACGAGAAGGGAAAAGAAAAAGGTGCTCAAATACATAATGCACCCTCGGGGACTCGAACCCCGGGTTTGTCTTGAATTCTGCTGTGCCGACCCAGGAGACATAAGATGAGTGTTGCCATACACCAAGGGCACATATTGACTGGAGGTATGGTCCACAGCAACTTACGGGTGCTTGCAAGGTCCCCTGTCTGCACTCCATGAATAGATAGATTGATTAAAAAATGGCTGTTCCTTCAATCCATTCCGCTGTCCTGCAAGGAAAGAAAAAAGCATGGATACATTATGTAGATGGAGGCAATGTAGATGGAGGCAATGCCGAAGTCGGAAAAAGAATCACCGCTAAAACGGGTCTCAAATACGAATGCGCCCTCGGGGATTCGAACCCCGGACTCATTTTGATTGCCCACGAGAGTACATAAATTCAAAGATGTATGTTTCCATAATGTACACCAAGATGCATACTGTAGCGGGCAGATATCATGATCAACTGAACTGCTCAGTAGATAATTTACACTCCAACTTAAAGTTAGGGGTGCCCACCCGATGTTGCAAGGTCCCAGACTGACATCTGCACTTCATCTGTTTTGTTCTAGATACTAAGATAGATTGGCTGTTCCTTCCATTCCGCTCTCAAAAAAAAAAGTCGGATGGGAAACACCAAAGTCGGAAAAACAAAAAACAGAACCCCAGCCAAAAGACTCCCATGAACGCCATGCACCCTCGGGGATTCGAACCCCGGACTCATCTTGATTGGTGAAAGATCAAGAACGAATTAATTCAAAGACGTGTGTTTCCATAATGTAAACCAAGGGTGCTTCCTATGCATACTGTAGCGGGCAGATATCGATATCAACTGAACTCAGGTGGGCCACGGAGATAAATTACACTCCAACTTAAAGTTAGGGGCCCACCCAATGTTGCAAGGTCCCTCACATCTGCACTTCATCCTAGATAGATTGGTTGAAAAATGGCTGTTCCTCCCAAAAACAGCCGGACGGCAAACACCAAAGTCGGAAAAACTTTAAAACAGAACCCCAGCCA